CAAAAAAATGTCTTAGTCTAGTACAAAAGGAAAGGAGGTCGCTCTATGCGTCCACCTCGGGATCCACACTCCCGTCTAGTGGAGTCTTCCAAGTAGCGGGCTCCTCGACCCTTACGTCCTACTCCTCAAGCAAGTAATCTGAAAAATGTTAGCGATAGGGGGTGAGCACGAAACTCTGTAGAAAAATTCTCTCAAACCCATACAAGGTTTAGAAAATTATTTAAAATGGTCGGTCTCAATTTTAACATAATATAGATACATAATTTGAAATAAAGTAGTGACATTTAAAAAAGATCTCAAGCTTATTTAAAAACATCACTTAAATGAATAAACGAGCACCATATACAATTAATAACCATTAATTGTCATAACCAATTCTCAACAATTCTTTCGATAAGTAGCATACTTTGTGATAACCTACACTCCCCTTTAGGTCACCTTTGATTTTCAAGCATCTTTATCGGAAACCTCTTGAGAATGGATAATCATTCTTACATGGAATCTCTCACCAATCACTACATTGTTTCCTAAGTATCCTTACCGGGAAACTCTTGGAAAAGGATGAGTGTCCTTACAAGGAACCTATCACTCATGTGCATCACAAATAACCCAACCAAGCATACAATTTCAACATTTATCTCAATTTACAAGCATCTATCCAAAATTCTCAAAATATATCATGTAACAATTCCACTACCAACTAAGAAATATATGAGATCACAATAACATCATTTTTCTACCCAACACAAAGTACTAAAGTTTTAAAATCCATAATAAAGAAAGCATTTAGGAAGAAAATACAACACTCTCCAAAAATTAGGGTTTTAAAACTAGAAATGAGATTTCATGGGTATTAAACCCTATTTTGTTCAAAACATGAAATCCTTGCAAAAAGCCTAAGAGATGATGATTACATAGCATATATATATACCATTGATAGCCAAAACATACATATATAAATACCCTAACCTCAATATAAGTGAATGAGAGAAAACCCCTACATTGAATCCTTAGTTTGTAAGAAGAACTTGAGATTTGATCTTAAATCTACCCTTAAATCTCTTGTTTTTTCCTTCATTTCTTCTTCTCTAATGCTCTCTAGAGTTCTAAGAAATGTGGGGTAAGAGTGGAGTGAAAGAAATGAGGGCAAATATGATGAAAATGAGGTTTAAAACACCTCAGCCCTGAAATTTACTGTTCACAATTTGTTTTGGTTTTCTCGAAAATTACGATTTTATTACTAAGAATCTCCAATTTGATCCATATGACTACTCTAAGATTTTTCGACATTCCGGATTTATTTTTAATGTTATTTTAATCTAAAAATATTTATTTTTATGATTTATCTCAAAACTAAAGTCAACGTACACCCGAAACACTAAAGTTTCTATTTTATTCATCCGAACCGGCTATTAATGAAGTTTTGCGTTGTTTACAAACAAAAGGTGATAAAGGGTGCTTCTTAAAGTCTTTTCTACTTATTTGAAGCCTAAATGTACTCATTGTTCTTATATTTTGATTTAGGATGCAAATGGAGACATTAAATGCAAAACGAAGCTAATTGGACTGTTTTGACATTGCTTCGTTATCTGGGCATAACTCGCTCATCCGAACTCCAATTGAGATGATTCAAGATGACATGGAATGATAAGAAAAAGCTATAAAAAGTTCATGTTTTGAGTTTTGAGAGATCTTGACTACATCAAGGTCTAAATTTGGCTTGAAGTTACAGCCAGTGCACTGTTCAAGCTAATTGGACTGTTTTGACATCACTTCGTTATCCGGGCATAACTCTCTCATCCGAGCTCTGATTGAGATAATTCAAGATGCTATGGAATGCTAAGAAACAGCTCTACAACTTTCAAGTTTTAAATTTTGAGAGATATTGACTGCATCAAGGTCGAAATCACGCTTGAAATTGCAGCCAGTACACTGTTTCATCCCGTTTCCATTTCCAATCCATTCCTAAGCCAACCAAATCCATCCCAAACCTCTCAAACATATATTTCTACACAAACCTATTTAATACAAGTTCTAAGACCTAAAATTTCATATTTTCACTTATTAAAACCAAATTTCAACTATTATTTCCATTAACATTTTAAATCTCTACTTTTCTAATCTACCAAATTCAAACACACATCACTACACATATCCACATTTTTACCACAATTATTTACTATATATCTATATACATATATAAAAGAAAATACAGGGTGTTACAAGTGTACACTCATTTCGCACACTCATGAGTCTCAAGTGAAAATGGGGATGTAGATGTGAATACTTGCTATTTCTATTAATGAGGCACAAACTGGAGTATTTATCCTCCAAGTTGAAAAACTGCTAGAACTTTGTGCCTGTTTTTTACCTTCATGCCTTGCGTAACGTGAAAAAGAGAAAAGCCACAACAAAAACTTCTCTTTGAAATTTTTTGTTTGCCTAACCTCGTTAAACATGGCTCACAAGAGTAGAAATTTGCATCATATTATTGCATAGAGCCAATGACAAGTTCTAAAATCTAGTGGTACCTAAAGAAAAAAAAGACCGAATCGTGAGTAGATAAGTACTATACCCCTAAGATTGACTGCAACACAAAAAAAATAAATCTACAATAATAAATGATGAAATGTGGCGATGGTGATTTATTCATAAGCTGATTCCACCGATTGAGGTTATTTTGATTGATCATGTTCAAGTTGTAGTCAGGGAAAGGGTGTAGAAGCCTAATGTGAACCTGTTACCAAAATAAAGTAAGGAGAAACTAGTTTTTTCAAGAAAGATGATACAAATTGGGTTCAT